TGGTGTTCAAAGCCGCTCCCAAGCATGTACCTGAGGTGGACACTCTTGGTGAACCCCCTTGTGGGCTTTGTGCACAGTCTTGTTGTAGTTCAGCCTTAATTGTTGTAGGTATCAATGTGAGGAATTGACCTCCAGGCCAATTGGCTGTGAGAATCAGCTGTGTCTGCAGTGGGAGAACTTCTGTGCTGAAGACACCCTTCTGGGGCAAGACTTGCTTCAGTAGGGCTTTGGTGCTCACTGAGTCTGCCCCCCGAGTGTGTCCCTTATGGATCTGAGGAGTTGTAATCTGGATGGTCCCACTCTGACCACTGGGTACACAGGCTCTTGGTTCTAAGGAGGTGCTAATTTAGCCTCTGCCTAAGGCTACCCAGCAGGAGCTAGGAAGAGATCTGCAGATTCCCCTTCCTTTTTGGGGGGTTTGGAGGTGCCCAGATGAGGCCCAGCTGTGAAGCAATGCAAGCTGCTGTGGGGCCTTGGTTCTTCTCTTGGAAGTTCTGGGTCTGTCTGGCCCAGCTGCAGTTTGTTAGGTACTTTTCAGATTGCAAAGGGCCAGGGCATTCATATGCAAAAGCTTCTGCAGCAGCCTGGGTGGGGCGGGGTCTCGGAATAAACAGGGCACAGCAAGCAGCTATGGCTGATCCTCAGCCCTGCCCTAAGGGGCCACATGTCTCAGTGTCCCGGTAATTGCTGCAAGCACCTCTGAGGGAAAGCCGCCCTCAAGTTCTGAGTTATGCCTGCTGCCAGACAGTCCAGTTTCTCCCCGTATGAGTCCTGGGTCCCCAGAGACTTCCCGGAACTGGAGTTCAGAGCAGTCGGGAGCTTGTGACTCCCTTCCGATTCAAAAAGACAGCCACGTCCTCAGGTGCCAGCCCCTTTCCGCGTGCGCTCGAGCCTCTGTACCTCTGCACTTTACTTCCGCAGCTCCTCTGAGTCTCAGTGTGCTTTTCTCTTTCCTTCTAGTTGTAGAATTTCCACTCAGCCAGCCTTCCTATAGTTCTGGATAATGTTCGTTTTGTCTTTGCATTGTATTTTTGAAGTGGTTGTGGGAGGCAGCAATTTCCGGTGTTTACCTATGCCACCATCTTGGTTTCTCCACAATAAGCAGTTTTTCTTTAAATAAAAAATTAAATATTTACTATAATTAAAATAATCCTTAAGGTAGGAATGAAGATCTCACCATTTTTCATCATATGATGGAGAATGGCAATTCTCAGCTGAGAGGCTTACTGGGACTTCCCCCTCAGTTGAAGAGAGCTTAATTGCATCCCTTCCTAGAGGGCACCCTGTGTCAAAAGATTGACTGGACTGGGAGTATAAAGACACAGCCTCGCCTGGCTGGTGTTGCTCAGTGGTGGAGGGTCAACCTATGAACCAGGAGGTCATGGTTCGATTCCCAGTTAGGACACATCCTGAGTTGCGGGCTTGATCCCCAGTGTGGAGCATACAGGAGGTAGCCAATCAATTGTCTCTCATCATTGATGTTTCTATCTCTCCCTCTCCCTTCCTCTCTAAAATGAATAATATATCTTAAATGAATGAAGAAATGAATTCTTTTCTTTGTATTTTCCTGGAATTAAAATATCCTTTCTTGGGTAAAATGACATTTATAGTAACTGGAAGTTTATTTAAAATTATTTTTCCTTGGAAAAATAAAGTATACGATTATTTTTTAAAAGGTTGTTGACCTACAATGCCTTCAGTGTAGGAATCTCTGGACCACAGGACCCATTGAAGACCACACAATCTTGTAATCCATCAGACACTGAGTAGAGATGTGTTCAAAGTTTTGTAGAGAAGTCAGAGCAGAGAAGTTCCCCTCTGAGGTCTTGTAGACAGAGAGACATGGGTTCAGATAACAGAAAACATATACCAGCTATGGACCTTGGGCAACTCACTAACACTCTGAGCCAATTTCCTCCTCTGTAAAATGGGAATCATGCTACCCCAAAGAATTGTGGGGCTTTAGAGAGACCAGTTTATGAGCGTACACAGGGTCTGGAACAAGACTGTGTGTGATACAGACCCTTTTCTTCCTTTGCTCATTGAGGAACTTTCACCCTCTGCGTTTTCCATCACGGTGAAGTAATTACATCGAAAGCTTTTCCAGGGGCCTGGCTGCCTGAACACGTTCTCAGACTTTTCTCAGTAAAAGTTCCCCACTTGTAGGCTGGCATCTGGATCCAAGAATCTCTTTAAAGACAGCAAAATCAGCATTTGCTTCAAAGTTGGGGACATGCTGGAACAAACCCTAATGTAATTGAAACCTGGCCCTGATACTAAAATCAGACCCTAATTTTTTTTTTTTTTTTTTTTTTTTTTACATCTTTCAGGACGTAACAGCAAGTCTCTTCACAGACCTCCAGGGACACAAGACCAAGCCATCCATCTCAGACTGATATTAAAGGCACAGGCAGGTCCAAAAGGCAGACAAATAAAATCCAGCTATCTTCTAAAATAGTTCTTTAAACATGTTAAGCCATTTATACTTCTTTGTAATATAAACTAGTTTAAGGAAGAAATAGACAGTCCTTTATTAAACTAATAAAATGTAAATAGAAGTAAAAAGAAAGGAGAAGGCAAGTGACTAAGAACATGACTTTTACTGATATTTTATTTTTAGGGCCCATACTCTGGGCCTGCAGCTTCTTGGTTTTCATGTTGTACAGGCACAATCAGTGGGTCCAACACACTCATCAGGCTAATGTTTCCCTCAGATGCCTCCTCACACCAGAACTACCCAAAGCATCCTTTTCCTGGTGTGTCTTTGGGTCTTTTTCACCCTCTCTTCTGTCTTTCACATTTGTTCAGCCGTTTTCAATAATCCCAGGTGGTGATTAGTGAACACCTCTAATAATCATGGCTGTTTCCCAACTGTCAGGCCCAGGATTGCACAGAGAAAGAATACAAAATGCCCCTGACATTATCACAAAAATGTAAATCCTAGATTTTCACAACATTCATACATCTCTCAGGAACCTGAGCACTATGTTAAGGCAGTCACATCATAGCTCAGTCGTGAGACCAAGACACAATGAACTTTTGCCCAAATAATAAAAAAAATATATTAAAATGCCTGTGAAATAAATTTCATTTATTATGCAGATATGTATATAATCTGAATTTTCTTAATACTCACAGTAGAGAAGTTCAGGTTCTGTGCTACATAAAAGAATATGTCCTAAAACAATCTAAAGAATATGGAGTAGTATTCGAGTGTGTAACTTTATAAATGAACATATTAAGTGCACACATACTCTAAACAAAGCATTGGGGGGAAAAAATTGCAAACACACTGTATTGCCACTGCTCAAAATACACATTATAAGCATTCAAAGAATGATGAAATGAATTTAGATATAAACCACAGTAATACTTTCCTTTCAAAAAGTCACAAATAACTACAGTGGGGCCTTGACTTACAAGTGTTCCGACTAACGAGTTTTTCGAAGTACGAGCCGTCTCTCGGCAGATTTTTTGCTTTGAGTTGCAAGCTAAAATTCGGATTATGAGCCAACTTTAGATACCCCACCACTGGTTGGCGCAGTGAACGTCACAGTGAATACCACAACATCAGCCCAGCATCACATGTCTCACTCGTTCACTTTTGATTTGACATACGGGTAATTTGAGTTACGAGCTCCATCATGGAACGAATTAAACTCGTAAGTCAAGGCCCCACTGTATTGTAATAAAAAAGGATGCAGATTTATCCTAAAATTCATCCCCTTGGTATTTTGAGTCATACCAAAAATTCTTAATGGATTCACTAAAATAAGTATTCTGATTTAAAGTCATATTTGAAAACTGTTATTGACTTAATACTTCCTACTGTGAATTCTCTGATATTTTACATTTAATTTTGATTAAAGTCACTTTCAAGTACAAATTCTCTGGGATTTTCTGAAATACGATTTGGGGAATAGGTTTTTCATCATTTTTCACAAAGGTAGAATTTCTCTCCAGTATGCATTGTCTGATATTCAGAAAGGCTTTAGGTCCAGGTAAAGAGTTTGCATATTCTTTAACATTTTAAGTTTTTCTCCAGTCTGAACACTCATGTGGCAGTTAAGATGTAAATGCTAAAAGCAGTCTTTGCTGAACTTTTTACATTTGCATGGCTTCTCTGCACTAGGAAATCTCTAAAGTACATTGAGGCTTGAGCAATGATTAAAGGTTTTGCCACATTGTTTATATTTTTATTCTTTCAGTAAATTACGTGATATTGACTAAGGTTTCAACACTGGGTAAAGGCATTATCACAAGCTCTACACTTGTAAGGCTTCTCTTTGGTACAAATTCTTTAATATTTAGTGAGGTTTGGACAATGGTTGGAGGTTTTCCCATATTTATATTTAGTTTGTTTCTATTCACTATGAATTCCTTAGTATTGAGTAAAGCTATACCGAGGTTAAAGGCATTGTCACACTTTATTTAAAAATATGTTCCTATTGATGTTAGGGAGGAGAAGAAGGAAGACAGAGAATCACTGATTGGCTACCTCCTGCATGCCCCCTAATAGGGATAGAGCCTGACCCCGGGTATGTATCCTGACCAGGAATTTAACCATGACCTCCTTGGTTCGTAGGTCCATGCTCAACCACTAAGCCACACTGCCAGGCGTTGTCACTCTTCACATTTGTAAAGCTTCTCTCAGGTATGCATTCTCATATATTTGGTAAGGTCTAATCCAGTGGTTCCCAAACTTATTTGGCCTACTGCCCCCTTTCCAGAAAAAATATTACTCAGCGGCCCCTGGAAATTAATTTTTTTTAAATTGTAATAGCAATTAAACAGAAAGATATATGTATTAATGTTTCTGCCCTTTTCGTAAAATATAGTAAAGAAAGGTGTAAATTAGAAACATTGAAGTTTGAAATTATGAAACTATTTATTGAACTCAGAATAGAAAGGTAATACAAAAAAGTTAAAACAAATGCACCTGTGGCCATCACCGCCCCCCTGGATCGCTGCAGCGCCCACCAGGGGGCGGTAGCGCCCACTTTGGGAATCACTGCTCTAATCAATGTATATGGGCCTTGCCACATTGTTAATGTTCGTAAGCCTTCTCTCTAGTATGACACCTCCAATGGCTAGAAAGGTTTGAACATAATTTATAGGCTTTGCCACATTCTCTACATTTATCAGGGTTTCTGTTCTATATGAATTCTCTGATGTCTAGAAAGGGCTGAAGACCAGCTATAGGCTTTGCCACATTCTCTACATTTATAAGGCTTCTCTCCAGAATGAATATTCTGATGTTGAGTAAGAAGTGACCCTTGGGTAAAGGCTTTCCCACATTCTCTACATTTATAAGGCTTCATTTCTGTATGAATTCTCTGATGATGGGTAAAGGTTGAACAACACCTAAAGGCTTTCCCACATTCTCTACAAATATGTGGCTTCACTCCAGTATGCACTGCCTGATGTTGAGTAAGATGTGAGCCCTGGGTAAAGGCTTTGCCACATTCTCTACATTTATAAGGCTTCTCTCCAGAATGAATTTTCTTATGTTGAGTAAGATTTGAGCTCGAGGAAAAGGCTTTGCCACATTCTCTACATTTATAAGGCTTCTCTCCAGAATGAATTCTCTGATGTTTTGTAAGATTTGAATTCTGGTTAAAGGTTTTACCACAATCTCTACATTCATAAGGCTTCTCTCCAGTATGAATTCTCTGATGATTTTTGAGACTTGAACACTGGCTAAAGGCTTTGCCACATTCTTTGCATTTATAAGACTTCTCTTCAGAATGAATTCTCTGATGTTTTGTAAGGCTTGAACACCTGTTAAAGGCTTGCCCACATTCTTTACATTTATAAGGTTTCTCTCCATGATGAATTCTCTGATGTCGAATAAGGCTTGAATAAGCGTTGAAGGCTTTGTCACATCCTCTACATTTATAAGGCTTCTCTCCACTATGAATTCTCTGATGTAAAACAATATGTGCATGCCACTTAAAGGCTTTATCACATTCTTTGCATTTGTAAGGCTTCTCTGCAGTATGGATTTCCTTATGTATATTTAACTTAGAAGACTGACTAAACACTTTCACATAGTGAATGCATGGGAGAAACTCCTCCTCAATATGAGTACTTTTATGTTCAGTAAGATTTGATGATTGGCTGGAAGACTTGGCACATTCAATAAAACTTTCTGTCTTCTCTACAGTATGAATACTCTGAGGTATAAAAATATCTGAGTTTTTTTCAAAGACTTTAGGCCATTTATACTTGTACTGTGGAAGTTGAGCTCTTTGATGGTTATTAGAATTTGACCCTTGGTTGAAGTTTTTCTGAGATTCATTGCATTGGTGACTTCTCTCTTCATTATAGGTACTCTGATAATGATTTAAGAGTGAAAAAGTTTTAATTAGGGCTCTAGTATCATTGCACATGTACAGTTTTTTCGAATTACCTATTCTGATACCATGACAGCTATATATATATCTTGCACATTTTTGGAAATTAAAGACTCTGGAAAAATAAATATTTCCCCATGAAAGAATAATACAAAATTGCTTAAGGGATTTACAAATTCATTTATAACTTGTATCTTCATTTTTAAAATATCTCATTTTTAGAAATATTTGACTGTTTAATCAAATGCTACATTAAATCATTCAAAAATTATTTCCATAATGAACTATGTGACTTCTCTGTAATTACAAATTTTACTTCAGAGAATATGTATTCATCTATTTATTTTAATTCTCATATGAGGACATGTTTCTTGATTTTTAGAGAGAAAGAAAAATCGAAGTGAAAGAGAAACATTGATCGATTGCCTCCTGCCTGCACCTAGAGCAGCGACTGAACCCTAAACCTACATGTGTCCTGACCAGAATAGAACACACAACATTTCAGAATATAGGGTGACACTGCAACCAACTGAGACACAGCAGCCAGAGCAGAGGATATGTACTTTTAAAAACATTCCTTTAGTCTTTATGTTCAGAAACACATTGTTCTGCCAATGAAACTGATATCAAGTAGAAATTTTCAAAATGTTTAAATCCTTAATCTCTTTAGGCAACAAGATTTTATTAAGGGTAACTGTCCCACTTTGGCCACATCCATCATGACTAACAAGCTTTTTTCTATTCATATTCCCCTGCATATTACAAAACTTTCATTCAGTGTAAATTCTCAATGCCACATCAGTGATATCTTACCTGTAGCATTTTCTGGAATGACACTTCTACACCTGACTTTGGCAACAAATCCTGGATAACCTGAGAAGACATAGCTGAAATATAACAAATTAATTATAAAATACACTCAGGTAAATATTCTTTAAATTTTAATGTACAGAATTAATACCTGCAAGAAGACTTCAGTGAGATTGAAGAATAGGAAGCACAAAAACTTTCTTCCTCCATGGAGATGCTAACTTACCAACAATTACTGACCCAATTATCTCCTAAAGTACTTCAGAAGCGACTTCAAAGACCACAATATCCACCAGAAAGCATAAAATAAAAATATCATAACGAAGAGGGGGGAAAGTTACCTACACTTACCCACAATAACTGCTCACCCTTTCTGACACACTACAAAATATCTATGGGATAACTCCCAATTCTCAGTTTCTCCCAGAAGAGAAATAAGTAAGTGTATTGGGTTTCCGTTTGTCTGAATTTTTTGTAAATACCCGAGGGATTTTTTCGTTTTTGAATAAAACAGATTTCTATAGAAATGAAATATACTGAGCATACATTGTGGTGGACTACTAAGTAAAAAAGTTAGTAATTGTTCAAGCACCAGAAAGACTGCAATGCTGAAGAAGGACATCAGGAATGGGAAGATATCATGAGCTCTAAATAAAAGCAAAGTATGTTTTAAACTGGGAAGTTACACAAAATACACACAGGCTTCTGGTCAAGATGGCGGTGTAGGTAATTATAGCGTTGGCAACCTCCCACAACCACACAAAAAATACAACTAAACTACAGGAAAACCATCATTCAAAACTGCCTGAAACCTAGCTGAATGAAGTTCTACACGTAAGGATATAAAGAAGAAGGCTTATCCAGACTGGTAGGAGGTGCAACGCCACAGAATGGACTGGGCCCATGTGCTGGATTAAAATCACCAGCTATATGTTTCTATCTCTCTCCTTCTCCCTTCCTCTCTGAAATAAATAAAAATATATTTTTAAAAAACAAAAATCACCAGCAATATATCAGCTGCAGAAGTCACATCTGAGGAGGGAAAGGTCCCAGACCCACAGAACGCCTGTCAGCCCAGGGTTCCAATGCCAAGAAGAGCTGTCCCCATTACTCTGGCTGTAAAAACTAGCAGGGATTGTGCCTCAGTGAAACAGAGAGCTGATGGAGTCCTAGGCAGTTCCTCTTAAAGATTCATGCTCTGACTTACTCATATTCATGCCCTGTGAGCTCCAGCACTGTGGTAGCAGCTCGAATGGCACCAGGGACATACAGGTTGGAACTCAAGTCTCTGGTATAAAGACAAGAGCTACAGAAGGAGCTTTCTCCCAGGCATAAGTCTTGGTACAAGCCTTTGCTCCTTTTCTGAGCCCTTCACCCACAGAGCTGGCAAACAAGACCCATAGCTACGTCTCCATCAACCTGGCTCACACTTTTCAACCCACCCTGAAGATTTCCTGAGATCCACCCCATCAACGTCTGGGACCACCAAAGCTGTTTCCAGTGGCTTTTCCATACAAACAGCCTGAATTGCCTTATGCTTCAATCTTTACAAAAATTTCTCAAACAAGCAGGATTTGGCCCCAGTGTACCACATCACTCTTGCTAAGTAGCCCCAGCATGGAAACTATGTAATGTCTAATTACTGGGGTGTACACCTGACATGAATATAATATATTGGCAACTACAATTGAAATAGTAAAAAAGGAGTTACACACACACACACACACACACACACTGATTACACTTTCCAGAATAGGTTTGACAGGCAATGAACAATCTATCACAGCTGATTGTTATTTGTTTACTCCTGTACAAAGCAAGTTCATAAAGAATGAGATGGCAGCTGTTTCTAATGACCTGGAATAGTAACAAAAGATCACAAGGTTTAGGAAGAAACAGAAAAACAATCCAACCAGAGGAACAACATATATCTCCATAAATTGGCCCTAAGTTAATGAACATCTGTTAATTACGTAACAAAGCTGTGAAAACAAACACATCTTAAAGAGGCTCAATTGGAAAATATAGCGAAAAAAATTAAAAAATATATTACCATCAAAACTATGCATGAGAAAAATAATAATACAAACAGAGGAAAAGTATAAAAAAAGAACCAAACAGATATTGGGAGCTGAAGAATATAGTTAGTACCTGAATTGAAATATACAATAAAAACATCAGAAACAGACTTCATCAAGCAAAATGAAGAATAAGACAACTTGGAAACTGATCCACAGTGTTCCTGGGATGTGGGAACCAAATTCCACTATCTCAACCACTTCCCTCCCAAATTACTCAGAGGCAGAAAACAAAACTTTAAACGTAGTTTAACGTAAAATTCCTCAGCAACGTGCACAGACTTCCCCAGGTTCACCAAGAAATGCAAGAGTAGCCAGGTCATGCCACCCTCACACTGTTAGGGCAGGTCTTTGGCTCTCACTGTAAATGCGAAGGAAGATCATAGGAGCACAAGGGAACCCTTACATGGTGCCAGAGAGTAAGTGTTGAAGAGAATCTGTCCCTTGAAGACAGAAACAGAAATAAACCTGACCCTCTCCAAAATCATTTCTATTGCAGCAGATCTTTCCAAAACATATTATAATATCTGACTTCCTCCATAACCTTGGCCTCTCACTTGGGTCATCCGCTTCCTTGATTCCCACCTACCTGGCTGGCTGGATACTGTCTTTTTCCTCTTCAACTCCCAGGGCCCCTTCATGTGCTCCAAAAAGGTGACCAGGTCTGGCTTAGACACACCTGTTTATTAGAAAAGGGAACATGAAAAAAAAAAAACCAAGATGGCGGCATAGGTAAACACCGGAGTTTGCTGCCGCAAACAACCACTTCAAAAATACAACTAAAAGAGGGAACAAACATCACCCAGAACCACAGGAAGGCTGGCTGAGGAGAGATTCTTCAACTAGAAGGAAAGAGAACAGCATACCGAGGCTCAGAGGAGGCGCAGTGTGGAAAATACAAAGGTACGGAGGTGCGCGTGGAGCTGGCTGGTGGCTGAGGGCGCGGTTGTCGTTTTCAATCAGGAGGGAGTCTCAGACTCTGAGCTCCAGATCCGGGCGAGTCTCTAGGGACTCAGTCTCAAATGGGAGAAGCGGGATTGTCTGGCATCAGTCGGAACGTGAGGGCAGCTTTCTCTCCGAGGTTTGCAGCGGTTGCTGGGGTTCTGAGAAGCAGAGCCTCTGGGAACGGGACTGAGAGCAGCCATAACTGCTCCCTCCGCCCGCCCTGTTGATCCTCTGCGACCCGACCCGCCCAAGCACTGTGCATAGCCATTTGCCGGATAGCCTCAGGCAAAGGCTAGATTAGCACCTCTCCAGAGGACAGAAGTATTCCCACTGCAGATACAGCTGATTCTCACAGCCAGTCGGCCTGGTGGTCAAATCCCTCTAGTATTAACTACAACAATCAAGGCTTAACTAGAACAAGACTGCACACAAAGACCACAAGGGGGTGCACGAAGAAAGCATAAAAAATGCAGAGACAAAAAAACATGACAGAAATGGAGGATATAGAGCTAAAAAACGCACTTTTGAGGTCTTTCAATAATTTGCTAGAAGCTGCCGATAAACTCGATGAGAGCCTCACGAAATCTAATGAGACCCTCGATGTTGTGATAAAGAACCAACTAGAAATTAAGCATACACTGACTGAAATAAAGAATATTATACAGACACCCTATAGCAGACCAGGAGCGCAAGAATCAAGTCAAAGATTTGAAATGCGAAGAAGCAAAAAACACCCAACCGGAAAAGCAAAATCTAAAAAGAATCCGAAAATACGAAGATAGTGTAAGGAGCCTCTGGGACAGTTTCAAACGCACCAACATCAGAATTATAGGGGTACCAGAAGATGAGAGACAGCAAGATATTGAAAACCTATTTGAAAAAATAATGACAGAAAACTTCCCCCACCTGGTGAAAGAAATGGACTTACAGGTCCAAGAAGCGCAGAGAACCCCAAACAAAAGGAATCCAAAGAGGACCACACCAAGACACATCATCATTAAAATGCCAAGAGCAAAAGACAAAGAGAGAATCTTAAAAGCAGCAAGAGAAAGAGACTCAATTACCTACAAGGGAATACCCATACGACTGTCAGCTGATTTCTCAACAGAAACTTTGCAGGCCAGAAGGGAGTGGCAAGAAATATTCAAAGTGATGAATACCAAGCACCTACAACCAAGATTACTTTATCCAGCAAAGCTATCATTCAGAATTGAAGGTCAGATAAAGAGCTTCACAGATAAGGAAAAGCTAAAGGAGTTCATCACCATTAAACCAGTATTATACGAAATGCTGAAAGGTATCCTTTAAGAAGAGGAAGAAGAAGAAAAAGGTAAAGATACAAATTATGAACAACAAACATGCATCTATCAACAAGTGAATCTAAAAATCAAGTGAATAAATAATCTGATGTACAGAATGAACTGGTGATTATAATGAATCAGGGACATAGAAAGGGAATGGACTGACTATTCTTGGGGGGGAAAGGGGAGTGGGAGATGCGGGAAGAGACTGGACAAAAATCGTGCACCTATGGATGAGGACAGTGGGTGGGGAGTGAGGGAGGAGGGTGGGGCGGGAACTGGGAGGAGGGGAGTTATGGGGGGAAAAAGGGGGAACAAATGTAATCTGAACAATAAAGATTTAATTAAAACAAAAAAAAAAGAAAAGGGAACATGAGTTCAATGGAGATTCTCCAATTACAATCTAGTACTGTGCTCACATGAGAAAAATGGACACTGTAGAATATCAGAATATTCTAGAAAATTATTTCCCAAAATAGTATTTTCTGACAGCACCTTTACTATACTAGAGACAACATTTAAATTTTTTGATCCTGAGTTCCACTACCAAATACATCAGGAAGCCTTTCTGTTCTGCACCAGTAAAACAGGAAAGCCTTTCTGTTCTGCACCCCAACTTCATTCCTTAAGAACACGGGTCTGTCTGAAATTCTATCATAAAAAGCGGAGGCTCTAAGCAGACACTGTACTAATGAAGAAAACAAAACCCTATGGGTGGAGTACAAAATCTTGAAAGTGATCCTCACCCAGGAATACCAGGTTCCTGTAGTTCTGCAACATCACATCCGCGTACAGTTTCCGCTGAGCTGGGTCCAGGCACGCCCACTCCTCCTGAGAGAATTCTATGGCCACATCACTGAAGGTCAACTGTCCCTGTAATTAAAAGGGGGGAAAAGCATTACTCTATTGACCATGGGCAGAGGTCATAAGGTCACCCAAAATGAAAACAGAGTTAATGGAATTGGTTTGGGGTGTGTGTGTGTGTGTGTGTGTGTGTGTCTATGTGTGTGTGTGTATGTGTGTTTCTTTAATAGAGTTGGTTTTGATCTAGGAAAGTATCCTGAGTTATCCAATGGCATCACTTTGACACTAATATTCTCTAATGTATTTTGAGAAAGGATGGCATATGATCCACAAAACCACTGTAGAAGCTTTACTTTTCTGGAAGAGAAATTTTAAAAATAAAGACCCCAACACAGGCATATCCATTTTTAGTGCTTTGTTTGAATCACACAGGATCAAGTGTATATATTTCTTAGCTGGAGAAGTCATTCTGAGTGAGCACAGTGTAGCGCTTTTAAATTTTTTAATGAGTTCTGGATGCGGTGTGAGCTTCCACATGTTTAACCAGCTCACTTATAACTATAGATGCCAATGTGCTGGTCCATGTGCCAAATCTTTAGACAGCACAGAAGAAAACACAGGAAAAAAATTCATATACAAGACTTTGACTGAACAGTTTTAAGGAATTTACAGGTCTCACAGATTAGTAAGCCTAGCAACCACAACTGTTTTAACAGTTTTTTATATATTAACTCATAAATCTCAAAAGTAATCAAAGAATAACATCATTGTTCCCTTTTTTTAAATGTATTTGTTGACTTTAGAAAGACAGAAAGGGGTAAGGAGAGAGACAGACATAAACGTTGGTGAGAGAGAAACATCAATAAGCTAACTCCTGCACACCCCCTACCAAGGATTGAGCCCTCAACCCGTCATGTGCCATCACTGGGAATTAAATCAGTGACCTCTCAGTGCATGGGTCAACGCTCAACCAACTGAGCTAGGGCTATTCATCTTTTTATGAGAATATTTTACAAAACATCCAGAAAATGGTAGAGCCTGGGTGTTATTCCAAACTTTATCTGGAATCTGTCAAAAAGAATACAGACCAATACATAGACACAACCCTCATGAATGTTTACAGCTGTTATAATTGAAAAGAACAAAAACAATGCCCTGGCTGGTTTGGCTCAGTGGATAGAGTGTCGGCCTGTGTACTAAAGGGTCCCAGGTTCAATTCTGGTCAAGGGCACACGCCCAAGTTGGGGGCTAGATCCCCAGTAGGGAGCATGCAGGAGGCAGCCGATCAATGATTCACTCTCATCATTGGTGTTTCTATCTCTCTCTCCCTGTCCCTTCTTCTCTGAATCCAATAAAAATATATTTCTTTTTAAAAAGAATATAAACAAGAAGATAAGAAAGAGCTCAAATAATAATATTTTTTGCAAAAAGGCAGACATAGAAATGGAAACTATGTACACAAAAAATACGACATAAAATAATATTTTCATGTCAATAAAATTACCCTGAAATAAAATAAACATTAATGTCAATGTGTTAATCTCACAAATCTCTTTGTGAATCATCATCTTGTTACTTTATAAACACAAAAGGAAGGCAAACACACCATAATATAAAATACTAGCGCTATTGATTATTAGCCTACATATCACGTCTATCCGATTAGGCCAGCTGAGAGAACCTTGAAAGTAGAAGAAAGTATCTTCCTCCCACATAATGGCCATTAATTTATGGTGAGATTTCATTTCGTATAGGGGACCTGGATGGACACAACAGACAGAAAGCTGTGGACAAAAATGCAGGGGTAGCTGACTTTATCTGCCTCCTAAAGGCCTGCTTCCTTGCAGATGTTGAAACTGTTGACCCACATGAGCAGTTGATGAAGGCTTAACTGCTACATGACCTTCCTGGGGTGGCTCTAGTGAACTACACTGCCATCTCTCCCCCACAGCGCAGGCGCTAACAACCAGACAACCCCACTGGAAAAGGAAGTAACTGCACCCTGAAATGGAAATCTCCACCAGCAGGCCTTTTTCAAACCACCCTCCTATGTGTCCCAAGCTTGTTAGGGCCACCAAGCTGCGCCTGCCCCTCAGCAGCTCAGAGGACCTTCCTTTCTTCTGTGTTGTCTCCCTTATGATCGAGCATAAGCCTAAGAAAATTTCCCAAGAAATTTCTCTGGAGGTTCCTCTTGATTTCTAACTTGGGGAACCCAAAAAACCCCAAGGGGACAGTCACATTTTAAAGAGGGAACTTGGACAATCACAAGAAAAAAAGTAAGCAGTTGAAAACAAATTCCTGTTGCAGGATCATCAGAAATAGAGAAGCAAAAGTCTGCACCACCTACATCCATAAACTTGAGAAGGAAAAGCAGACACAGAACTGACCCAAGACAGAGCGTTTACCTGAGAAGCAGCCATATTGTCCTCTTCCTCCTCCTGCTCTGGGTTGTTTTCTCAGGCGACTTTATGTTGACCAATCACACCTGCATCTTGAGCATATGCCGTGCTTCCACCACACTCACAGGCAAGACTTGAAATGCTGAAAAATGTCACACTCCCCTGTCCTTTGTCACAGGAGAGATTAAGAAAAAGTGAGATCCTACATTAAGACCAAAGTGTAAGTTTTTCTCTCTTATAATCCTGTGCTCTCCTATCCCACAGACATGCACAATTTCCAACCCAGCAATGAGAATGTGGGCTGCACTTCTGTTCCTCCAAACTCAAAAGAGAACCCTGTTACCTCCCCTGGACCAAAGCCAGCTCTCAACTCTCACAAATGCACTGGGGCAGATAGCTCTTCTGATAAATACTAGCCTCCCTTTTGAATCACCTGGAGCACCACACTAAACCAACAACCCAGACCAGTTGTTCAACTCTGTGGGGGAGGGCACAATAATGTTACTTCTTACAATTCATCAAAGGGTCTAATAGAAGGGGACCATCTAGCTAAGCATTTCTTCTACAGCTTTAATGTGCATACAGAACCATTGGGGATCCAGGTCCCTCTAAAAAGTTATGATTCTGTAGGTCGGCAGTGAAGCCCATGAAATAGCATCTTTACCTAGTGCCCTGGTGCAGGTGACCTGCTTTAGGTAGCACTGGGTTAGAGATACTAGACCCAACATATCTGAGACCTATGAGTAGTGTGAAGGATTGGGGTAGGAACTTCTAGAGGGCAGGCTCCTAGGGAGGAACCCTGGAGATGGAGTTGTCCTGGAATGGGTTTAGCTAGGTCTGTAGCTACTGTGCAGATGCAAACAGGGGAGGGGAAAAAAACTTGGTGGCAACAGGATTCTGTGAAAATCCTGTCCTCAGAATTCTTCCAAAATGACCCTCAGTCCCCAGTTCTTTGCCCACACCCCTCCCAGGGGACACATGGTATTGTTATGCCCAGATTTCAAGATCCCCAAAAGACCATACCAGAGAGCCAGCGGAGTCCGATGCAAAAGCAAAGAGTCTTTATTCGAGCTAGCTCGGCTCCCCGACCACACTCACCGATGCAATGGCAAGCCAAGTGGCAGAGAGAGAGAGAGAGAGAGAGAGCGAGAGAGAGCGCGGGAGAGAGGTTTTATAGTAAGGGGAGGAGAGAGGACTGTGGGCCCTGCCGATTGGCCAGGGGCAAGTCGGTGTCTCGTTACACAGGATGTGGTCATCTCCACGGCGCGCACTTCCCTTGACTGTCATTGGTTAGTTTAAAGAAATCAGGGGTGGGACTAGCAGAGGCTTGGGCTTCCGGGAAGAAGCCCCGCTGAGCACATGGCTGCCCAAAAATGGAGGACACAGGGTAATATGGAGGGCGTAGTCCTCACCCTTTCAGTATAACAGGCCTCATCCCGTCCATGGGTGAATGGAGCCTCAATCCCTAAGGGACAAGGGGCAGAAAAGTGTTTCCATCACAGCTGCATTTGCAAATGAACTAAAGGAGCATACTCTAGAAGCCTCTCAAGACATGAGATTCCTTATACCACATTCATGTTCACTTTCTCTAACTGAACCCTAAACACATTTTAATCATTGTTCTTATTAATGTTTTATTATAGTAAGAACACAACATGAGATCTTTCAATAAAATTTTTGAAAATATATTTTTATTGATTTTAGAGTGAAGAGAGATACAAACATTAGTGATGAGAGAGAATCATTGATCGGCTGCCTCCTGCACACCCCCTACTGGGGATTGAGCCCACAATTTGGGCATGTGCTCTGACCATGAATCACACAGTGACATCCTGGTTCATAGGTTAACGCTCGACCACTAAGAAACACTAACCAGAATCAATAAAATTCTAAGTGCACAAGACAATAATGTTAACAGCAGGCAAAATGTTATACCGTGGATCTCTGAAAACTTATTTATCTTTGATAAATCAAAATCTTTATCCCTGAACAGCAACTCCCATTTCCACTCTCCTTTGCCTCTGGCAATGTTAATCATCCTCTAATCTTTGTTCCTGTGAGTTTGACTGTATTGTGAGAATTCTGAAGCTGGATTTATACAGGGTTATATATTAAAAGTACTTACTAAGTTTAAAATCTATAAACTTAATAGTCATATTATGAAATTTGAGAAAAATATGATTAATACAAATGACTCCCAAATTTGATAGAGTTTAACAATTATTATGAAAAAAATAGAAAAAAAATTCCTGAAACATAGCAGATTCACTATAAAACCTTAGAGCAAGCCCTACTAGGTGTACCTATTAATAATAGCGGATTTTGTAAACAAAGAAAACACCATAATTTCAAGAGAAACATCAAAAGTTCTTTATTCAAGGTAATGTCCATCACTAGCTACACATTGCCCCATCTTTCAGGTTTTTAGTAGATACCGTCACAATAGAACTTTTCTTGTTTTGAGGCAAACCATTCAGAGACCCAATTTTCCACTTCTTCATATGTTCTCAAGTACTGCTCAGAAAGTGCGTGTGCCATCTATTGGAACAAATGGTAATCTGAAGAAGCAAAGTCTGGTGAATACAGTGGGTGGGTTAATACTTCCCAGGCAAGATCTTTTAACGTGTCTTTCACTGGTTTTTGAAGTGTGTAATGTTGCGTTATCATGAAGCAAAATGACTTTGCCCTGTCTTCTGGCAAATTCTGGTCATTTCACGATCAAAGAGTGGTTCAAATTGATTATTCGTTGTCAATAGCGATCAATATTAATGGTTTCACCTGGTTTTAGAAACTCATAATACACCACACCTTCCTGATCCCACCAAACGCAGAGCACTGTCTTTTTTCCAAAGCGATTTGGCCTTGCAGTGGATGTTGATGGTTGACCTGGATCAACCCATGATTTTGTGCATTTGGGATTCTCAAAATAAATCCATTTTTCATCACCAGTCACAATTCGATGCAAAAAAGACTTTCTTTCATGCTGTTGAAGCAACATTTTACTGATGACTTTTCAGTTTTCCATTTGTCTTTCATTCAGTTGATGTGGCACCCATTTTCCTTCCTTTAAAGTCTTTCCCATTGTTTGTAAATGATCGGAAATTGTCTGCTGGGCAATGTTTAATCTTTCTGCAAGTTGTTTTTGAGTTTGACATGCAATCTTCATCCAATAATGCTTGTAATTGTTCGTCTTCAAACTTTTTCGTTTGACCTGGGCGTTCTTTGTCTTTCACATCGAAATCATCACTTTTCAAGCATTTACACCAGTGTTCACAAGTATCTTGAGATGGAGCATGTTCACCATAAGCTTCCCGAAATATTCAGCAGCACTTTTCTTCAAAATAAAGTAATGAATTAAAATGCTCTTTTTTTGGGACGAAATTCGACATTTTTAAGTGTAAAAATATCTATGATGTTAACACCTTCAGAAAATTTGACATATGAAGTTTTTAAGCTTGTTGTCAATACAACAAAATAGCATGCATATCAAATCGCATATATAACAATATATGTGTAACACCATCTATTGAAAAAAATTCGCATTATTAACCGGTACATCTAGTAAATCTTCATGGGGAAATTTATGCTTTTAATAGCAGATAAACAGGTCAATAGACCCACATTATTATTTTACTAACATTGTTCTCAGGAATAAAAAATTGCTACCTTATCTCTCTATGCATATCTCTGTGTCCAGATTTCCCCTGTTAAGAAGGAAAACAGGCATATTAGAGGAGGGCCCACTATTAATGCCCTTATTTTAAGTTGATTATATTTTGTTTTATTGATTTCAAAGAGGAAAGGAGAGGGAGAGAGGCTGCCTCCTGCATGCCCCCTACTGGGGATCAAGAAAGCAACCTGGGGATGTACTCTTGACCGGAATGGAATCCGGAACCCTTCAGTCCTCAGGCCCATGCTCTATCCGCTGAGCAAAACCAGCCAGGGCAAGTGGATTATCTTTTTAAGGTAATCTTTAAATAAGGTAATATCCCTATTTTTAAGGTAATTTTTTAAGTAGGGTAATATCCCAAGGCAGTGGATAAGATTTCAACATATGATTGAGACCCAACTGAAGCCTTACATGAAAAGTTTATGGGGGTGGGTGTCTAAGTGTGTGTGTCTATGAAATTTTATTAACCATGTAGCTTTGTTTAAATCAGAACCACAAACCAGATCCTTAATTGGAGCTGCCTTCTAACAACTCCTATCCCTAACCAAGGACAACCACTAATCTGTTCTCTATACTGATCTGGTTGGATTTAATTTTGATAACTTTATAATTTTCAAACAATTAATTATGAAATCACAAATGTGAATTAACCCAATCTTTTATTTAACTGAATATATATTTACCATAAATAGTTCTATTTCAACAAATAGTCAATATTTAAAGAAACTTATGCCAGGTATTGCACATCCTTTTCCCCTACTGTGTTCTGAAGAATCAATATGTATCCTCCACTGAAAGCACATCTCAACTGAGACTGGCTACAGTTCACAAGCTCAACAGCCACAGCAGGGGACTGGCTGCCATATTGGATGGGCCAGCACTACAGTATCAACATGGAAGTATTTTATGCAATCTGAGGGCAGACTGTGCCCTGTAATACTCAACCTTTTCATTTCTTTGATGCTTTCTTTGAGGTTATGTATATAATCACCTTTGTAACTAAACATGGTCTTAGGAAAAGAAAAGATTTTTTTTTCTAGGATCAGAGTCAAGTGGGTGTGTACATACACTCCCAACTTTATATCATGGTGTTACTCAGTCTTTTTGTCCTTGTTGTATTTGTCTAAAGATGTGTCAGGTTCTGAGAGAGGAATTAAAAAGACTGTCACTCTCACTCTAACTCTAAACATATGTTTCTCAATTTGTTCCCACATATCCATTCCTTTATGTCGTTCATCTTTAGCTTTGTCCATCACTTGTACATACATTTACTCATCCAAGATTAACCATCTCCTTGGTGCCTGGCATTAGAGACACAGACCAGAACAAGACCAAGGCCTTGCACATGTGGGCAGCCATCTTAATCAGGAGACAGATAATAAATAAGCAAACAAATAAATAAACAGAAAAGCATCTGAGTCCAGAGAAGCCCAATGCAGACAAGTTAAAACAGCGTGGAAAACTCACTGAAAGTTGGGAACAAGGGAACAGCCACGG